ACCTGGAAGTTAAGTGTAGGGCAACTGTGCATGTATGGGAATACAAAGGTGTAGCTGGAAATCTTCGTTGGGTTCAGTATATTAAGTTATGGCTATATACTCCCCATTCCCAACCCTCTTAACACACCAGAGACATGCCTTTTTTATTAAAAAAAAAACAAAACTTTTAATTGGTTTACAAAGGAGCTACAAACTACATTGAAACTAACCTTTGTACAAAAAGGCAAAAAAAAAAAAAAAGGCCCCCAAAACACCCAGAGACAAAAGGTAGGAGACACAAGATAGATACAAAAGAGCAGGAAGAAACTGAAAGACAAGAGATTAGCATCATACATACCCAATGGGTGGGGGTGGGGAGAGAACAAGATGAAAGAGCATTTAAAAGTATTTCCCCACACAGCTCTGGTGATAATCTAATTAGAACCAACAACCAACACAACATGAAATCATTAGGTTTAAAAAGGCAACAGCGGTCGGAAGACTGGTTATCACCAGTGTTGAAACTTGTTTTAGGCACCAGAGACTGGGGCAACGCCCCTCTCTTCCGCCGCCCCCTACCCCTCTCCCCCAAGGATGGCAGATTCAGGAAGAGGAGGCAGGCTCTCAGGCAGCTGCTATTGGTGTGTGTAGAAGGGGAATCCTCAGGTCAATCTCAGCATATTTTCCCCAAGTCTTTGAACCCTGGGTTTCAGATGAGAGCTATGGGATGCCACTGGGAGAAAGGGGTGATCAGAAATATGAGGACCTGTCCTTGTCCCCACTGTTCAAGAGCAATTGCTGGGAAAGTGGAGGACTGAGCAGACAAAGTCCATTCCCCTGTGGAGAAGGCACAGTGTCATTCCTGAAGATGAGGCAGAGAAAAACACACCCCAGGAGAGAGCAACAGTTGTCACTACCTGCAGTCCCAGCTTAATCCCACTTATGTATTTTTTTCCTGATACTGAAGGAGTTGAGGGACAATCACCACACCTCTTCTCCCTTAGCAGACACAAGGAAAGGCTGGAATTGATGAGGAAAAGGGAAAATGGGACAAAAATACTAATTTCTCTCAAATGAACTTTGTGGAGGAAACCTTTTTGAGTTTGGGAAGTCAAAGTGGAGAAGACCTCGGAAGGAATGAATCCAGGGACGGCCCTTTTTTTCCTTTCCCAGCCTTCAAATTGAGGCAAGCAAGCCAAATCTAAGACAGGGAGTAGGAATTTAAGCTTAAGGCTGCTTTATGTCCTCCTGGGGGCTGGTGTTTAGGGAAGGCAGACAAAGAAAAGAAACAGGTCAACCTCAAAGCTGGTCTGCTCATCCTCCTAAAAGAGGTCTGTAGCCCAGGAGGAGAGCCAAGAGAGGCACCAGAGAGCAAAGGCTCCCAAACAAAAGTAAAGCAACCTGCCCATATTTTATCAGCAGTTTTCCAGGATTGGAGAAGTGCCATGTCCTCCTCCCTTTCCCCAAAGCTACTGCTACCACCTTTCATCCTTGCACATAAGTTACTGGCTCTCTTCTAAGGGAGATGAAACTCTGAGATTTCACATTTCTCCCTCCCAACTCCAATAACCTACCCAGCTTTGAATAGGGGTAAGGAGAGGTATGCAAAGGGCACCTCATTTGAGGCAGCTAGACTATCCTCATTTCCTTGGTACCTAGATCTCCAAAATTCGTTTGATCTGATCCCAAGGTCCAAAAGGCATCAGGGTACTTAAAATTGAATGAAAACTTTAAGCAAGTAGCACCAGGGCTCCCCCAAAGCATAACAGGGGCTTGATTAATACCCTCAGAAGAACCCCTCAAAAAGTATATAAATTTATTGCGTCCTAGCAAAGATCTGCAGCTTCCAGTATTCACACAATGTGAAGATATTAATACAAAATATATTCTGAAAGTCAAACATCTGCAGTTCATAGTGCTTTCTCAGATTTGTTAAAAAAATACAATGCTGTTTCCTATATAGGATATACAAAAGCAAAAAATATATATATGTATATAGTAGAAATAAACCAATCAGCCATAGTAATTTACAGCTTTTGTCTCTAACCCTCTCCCAATCATAATCTTTACCCCACACTGCAGTCTATACTTTCTGGGAAAAAGGTTCTATTTATTCTGAACCAGGCTGAGAAATATCCATTTAATATCATGCTGTACAGCACCTACAAACATGGTGCCAGCTGGGAGGTCCCTGCAGGAAGATGGGTTGTCACTGCTCTGGGTAAAAAGTGAGACAAATAAATGATAAGCAGATGAAAGTGAATGGGCAACCTGAAAGGACAAGGGAATGAGTGCTACAATGTTACCACTCCTTTGGGTATGCCCTACCCTGCACAGTTTGGTCATTTAAAAAAAAATAAAAAAGAAACTCATGTAAAATTTTTAGAATCAATATGCCTGTCAGTCACATTTATTTCTGCTGGCCAAAAGTTCAGGGAAAGGGATTTTCAACAATAAACTCCTGACTCAAGGAATGTAGGCTCCCAATTTCCTATGGAAAAGATTGAGTGGCTCACTGCCGCTGGGAGACAAAAGCAGAAGCTGCTCCAGTTGTGGGGCCACACAAGATACTGGATCTGGAGCTTCCTTGGTGAGAATAGGGCAATTGGAAAGAACTGGATGTAAATTCACTCATAGTAATGCTAACGAAAGTGGGGAGGGTAAACCAACATTCTATTCCAGAGAGAAACTTCATCAAAATAATGTTCTAAAAGCTTGTATTTCTCAGCTTCATTAAGCTAGTTTGTTTCTAATAATGTCTTACTGGGGAAGATTCCATTTCTTGAAATGCTCTAGTAAAATACTGCAAACTCCAGTGAGTTGTCCTGCCCCTTTCCTCCAAAAGATGCCTATGTACATGATTACAGACATAAAATAACAGGTTTTACCTTTCAAGGAATAAAGGGTAGGACATGTGGTTGGGCATGGATAACTTTTACTTTAGTATTAACAAAATCTGACCTGGGGAAAGTTCCTTGCAATGGTTCCTGAGTGTTAATACCAGTATTAAGTCTTCAGAAAAAGAACCAAATGGAGTGAAATATTGTTTACAATATTAACAGTTATTGTATTTCAGGTTAAACAATAACACAAACTTAACCAAACCCTAATTCAGATAGATTTTATAAAAATATATAGTGGAATCATAGCATCATCTATTCGTAGTCAAGGTAAAAATATTTATGAAAGGACCTAAGATTCTGCTATAGATGGTTTCTCTTTCAAACACAAAAAATAGTTTCTTCTTTTTTAAAAGTGCAGTAGAATATCCCCCATTCATAATTGTAACTAATTTATTAGCATAAGCAAAGAAATGACCTCAGGAACATACCCAGGTTTTAAAATAGATTTCTAGGTAATGGGCCTGAAAGGCATTTTGATCTGAATTTGATTTATTTTCCAACAATTTTAAATATAATTTCTCATCTGTGTGTAGATATATACAGGCACAAACACACATTCACACATGGTCATACATAAACATTTCACTATCAGATCAGGGTAATTTTTATTGCCGGTCTCTTAGTAATGGCTAACAGAAAACCTATCCCCAACCTAACAGATTACACACATACACACAGCCATTTCCACACTTCCTCACAGTGAAAAGCCCTCTGACAAGATACCAGAAGGTCAAGAGAGACGATGTTTTAATGGCTGGGCCTTGAGGACAACTCTGGTTGCATTTAAATCTCAGTACCAAATGCACTGAGTTCCCTGCCGCTATAATTTTTGGATCAGTCTCTTCAGGAATCAGGCCATGAAGAAAACAGGATAATTTCTCCCAATCTCTCCTATAAACCACAGTGGTAAGACAAGATTTATTTTTGTTCTGGGCTATCATTCCCATGATCATGTGCTTCCTTTTCCCTTAGGAACCACCCAAGGAAGAGTTAAGGGAAAAGATCAAAGAACCACTGCCTTGCCACTAGTACATGCTCTGGAGTTCTGCAGAATGGAAACCTGGAACAGATTCATTGCCTGATGCTCCTTAATAACATAATGAAAAAGAAACTACTGGGGATGTTCAAAAGAGGAAGTATACTTCCTTTCAGAATGTGAACTCAGAAGTTTATGTGAAATCAAAGCTTAGAGCCACCCTGGAAGACAGCTATACAAAGTACAAATACTCCCCTAACTCCTGAACTGGACTACTGAGTCACTTCCAACTTCTGAGCACATCATTTTCCTATTAAAATCCCCTACCTATTATCTGACCATCTTTTGATAGTTTATATAAACTAATCCCAAATTATAACCCTCAAAGGGTCTCTTGAACAATTACATAGAAATACTTCTGATTCTTGATGCTTAGAGCAGCTGATAGAGAGGTGCCTTTGACTCTTCAGCACCAAGAGGGTACCTGCGTCAGTAGTATTTTGAACACTCTCTCCACAGTTACTTCAAGCATCATCCTGGGCTTCAAGGTTTCTCTATTCTACTGCTGGGACTAATGACTTTAAAAGATTCACAGAAGTGCCTCATCCAGGAATCACTACCAAAAACATGAAATGATCAGGTGAGAGAAAGGGAGACAGAAAGGATTGAGCCCAGAAAGGAGTGCAAGAAGCTGATCCCAAATAAAAAGACAAAATTAAGGAAAAACATTATGTATGTATATATAAACTAAAAGCAGAGCATATGGATGCTTCATCTACATGGGAAGCCAAGACAACATCTATAAAAGCTTAATGTGTCACAAGGCTCAGCCATAAGAAATAAGGCAATATAAAAAAAAATGACCAAGGTATTTTGGTCACAGAATGGTCTCTTTCCTCCTCCCAGCCAACCCCTGCAAATGCATCTCTATATATCTTTTATATATATATATATATATATATATAATAACACATATATGTGTATGTATGTGTCTGTGTATGTGTGTGTGTGTTTGTGTGTATATACATATTGTGTGTGTATATATATATATATATATATATATACTGTATATTATATATAGATATAT